CATTTAATGAAGGAAAAGGAAAAATTAGTAAATGAAGGGAAAGTAAACAAAAAAGTAAACAATTAAATATATTGACATGCAAACAATTGATTTACTGAATGCATCCCAAAAGCAAAATGATGGGAAAAATCATTTACAGGTATTAAAATGTGACCAAAGAATTACTAATCTTTGGTCACATTTTTTAATTTTTTAATTATATTTCTGAAAATTTTCGGATTTCATACACATCTCCAAAGCCGCGAAGAAGCGGTATAAATTGCCATTAAGATTTGATCTGTTTCATCATCTTTTTTATTTTTATACTTGACTATACTTCTTAACGACTCGATATGATTACTGAGAAGGAAAGATTCAAGCAGAAAATTTATTCTTTCTTGAAACATCTGTTAAGAAGCATAGACAAGTAATAAATCTTCATTGCTGAAAAATTAGGAACAAAAAAGCTGCATATTGACTCTCAAATTCCTAAACTAATTACAAAATTCCCAATGATGAAACTCTCTCTCTCCCTCTGGAGTAAATCTATACTAAATAAAGGAAATTAAGGAACAACAAAATATAACAAATTTTAAGTAAATTTCTTATTTCAGAGCTCAATGTCTCTACATTTGAATTAACTAAATTGCTCATAGTAATACTACAAATAAATAATTAGCGCTGGTTATATGAAATTAAATAAAAAAGAGATCAATAATGATTTTCTAAAAATATTTTCCAATTTTTTAATAATAAATAAATAAATTTAGAAGCTTATTTTATAATTTTAAATAATCAAATTATTGCGCTGAAACGACTTTAATAATGTTATGATTAAACTTTATCATTTATTTTTTTCACTCAACGTCTAGCATAATTAATTAATTAGTTAATACAACATTTAACTTAACCTACCATAATTTTATACACTATGTTTTAGCAATAAGATGTAGTCGTGATATCAACCCGCCGAATCATTAATGTTAATATCTTCTCATTGACACAATTTTGCAATTTTGTTAGGAAAACAACAAAATTTCCATTAGTTTCTAAAATTAAACTGAACACTCTGAAAAACTTAAAAAGCCAAATTAAAAACGAAGTGGTAGAAAAAGCCAAATAAAAATAAAAATTTATTTCTAGAAAGATAAAGAGAGAGAGAGAGAGAGAGAGAGAAAGAGGAGAGAAAAAAGAGAGGGATAAGTTTTTTTTCAAAACCTGATTTCGAAACAGTTGCAGTGATGGCCATCGAATGTGTTGGAACGGTTAATGTATGGGAGCGCCTCACTTGTGGATACTTTTCCCCAGATTTTCGTTCATAGCTTGACCTCTTTTTACATGCAAGGTGTTGATCGCTTAGCGAAATAAGACGTTCACCATCGGTGCAACGCATCAATCCGTTACCACTCGGAACAGCATCTGTGGGGGGTCACTTTTACACCGAAAATTTACTTCATTTTATACAATGTGCTGTACGGTGATGAAGGACGAATATTTCAACTGAATTCAAATTATTTAATCGCTTTTTTTATTAAAATAAAATAACCATCGACAATTATATCATTATATCGTTGTCATCGTACGTCAAAGGTTTGCTCACAATAAAGCCTGATAAGCAATTAAAATTATGCAAGCAGCAAATTTTAGCCTTAAGCGATAGCTTATTTTTAAGGAATTTATTACCGTAAATATGCAAACCTTTTTTATCACTTTGTTGTACAACTTCTTCGGTATGTTCATGTGAACTTCGTGATGAATTTTCTTCATTGGTAGATAAACTAATTCGACGGTCACCTTCTGCAAATTACAAACAAAGCGTTGGATGATATTCAACTTAATTTGTTATTATTTCTCACTGCTACAATTACTCAGTTTAACTGGTCGTTAAATAATGTATAAATTGTAAAAAATATAAAATTATGCAAGGGCGATGAATGTAGAAGTTCATGGAAACAGTTAATTGGGTAAATGTAGTTAGTCATTAATCGAGTAATTGCAGCAATGAGAAATGATGGTAACAATTAACAATTAACAAACTAATTTAATATTTTATAAATTTTACAAATTTATTTTGAAACAGAAAAAAGGGAATATATTACGATGAATTGATAGATTGACGTCTGCAATGCTTTGTATACTGCTTGCTGTTTGCTGCTGTTGTTGTGAGCTAAACGTGTTCGAAAGAATTGACCAACGTCGATTTGACATTAACTTATCAAAATTTGATGTACCTCCACTTGCTCCTTTGTTACCTCGAGAATGTGGTATTGTCTGAAATTCAGCAATTATTTAAAGTGAAATTCTTACCATGTTACAATTAAAAAACATTTAAAATTTCTGCGATATTGAATGTTATGAAAAGTGTCAATTCCTGTCAAGCATGAAAAAATGATTTTGGATAACTGATTCATCTGAAAAAATTTATTCAATTGAAATCTGAAATATTTAAAAAAAACTAATTTCATCAATTTCGAACCATTAATAGAACGTAAAAATTTGGATATTTCCTTACGTTTTAATTACAATCATTAAGATGACTTATGGAAGAAACTTCCAAAGTTTTAAAATATTTGAACCTGAAATGTTTCTCTCAAGAAGGCAGTGATTTCGTTGAGTAAAAGACATGCCAGAAATAAAATCGCTGGTGGACAACGCTCACCACTTTCATCATTTACGATTCCTGAAATTCCCCATTTTTCCTTTTTTCTTATCTTTTCAAATATTTTCCAAAGTAATCCTGATGAAAAATACTTGTAATTCTTTTTCAAGTACCTTTGTAGCTGAAATTCGAAATAGAGATTTGTTTTAAATTTTACTACACAAATAAAAACCTTCATCGAAAAAATCTTCTAAATTGTCATGTATGACAAGTTCACGTCGATTCAAATCTGTCTTTTTGGACGGAGTTTTATTGAATATTGCTCCACTAGCTTCCATAATTTTATAAATTCGTTCACCAAGCTGAATTATTAAAATTGAAAATGATAAACGACAAAGAATAAAAACAATATTAATTTAAGAAATTATTTAAATTAAACCTTATTTGGAAATTTCTGTATTAAAATTCCAATGAAGTGAGTTGGCTTTTTTAATAAGGTTTTGAAAAGTTATTTATTACTTAATTTTTTAAAAATCAGTCTATCAAACCTGACATCCCCAATCATAGAAACAGCGAGCGGCGGCACGTTGCATCATATGCATGCGACGCGTCGCGCTTGGCGTGCCACGGCTTCCAAAAGCATTTCCAACAACAAAGGCACTTAATTGACATGCGTTATTTGAACGTATCCATTCAGGCCAATCTCCTAAATTAAAATCTAAAAGATTAGTTATTCTAATTATTTTAAACACTAGTGGCTTATTATAATTTACGTATTAACACCATACCTTTATTACATCGATGAACAAAAAGAGCGCATTCAAGAAGAAGTGAAGCTCTTGCAAGAACAGGAGATTTCAAGTCCAACAATGCGGCTAGAAGTGGAGGATCCGGATAGCTTCCCGGACGGCATGTTTCAAGGAAAAATGAAAAACGTTGTACACCTTCTTGAATACCGCGTAAATTGACAAATTTACGTGTTGGGAGATTTAGATTCGTTAAAGAGATTTGTCTTGGATGCAATGGATCTGGAAAGAAAGAAAATCAGATAACGTTAAAATTATCTTCTTCAATTCTGCTTCACGAATAGCAAATTAAAAGCATTCATTTCTGTAGTTTAAGAGTTATAAAACATCTTTTTAATTGAAGTTTAAAAAAATGTATCATGAAATTAAATACGTAATTGATACAGGTGAAATTTGAAGTTTCTGATTTTAAACTGCAAATTAAACTATTGAACATAAATTTGAAACCTTGTTTATCATCCATGGACTCAATAGACTTTTGCTGTGATATGAGAATTTTAGACGAAAGCGATTTCTGTGCGGTTAGACCCTTCGAACGATGATCGTCATGTGTTAAAATTCCATTCTGAGCACATAATCAAAACAATAAAAGTATAAAACTTAAAAAAATGCTAAATAAAGAAAAATGATGTGAAATTATATTTTAAATAATCAATTAAAAAAATTTTAATTAAAACTGACATGTGTTTCAAACGTTATTTTTTAGCAATTTCAAATTTATAAACTACAATACTTCTCTATAGTGATGAATTATAGTTTTACACAACAATTCTTTCTTAATTTTTTCCATCTTTTCAAAAAACAAATATTTTTTAATACACTGATAATTAATAAGAGAGGGTCTTTTATGTAAACATGAATAGTTACACAAATAGCTCTGAACGAGACTATGTCTTACCATTAGCTAAATTGGATTGCTTAATTAAGCCGAAATATTCGGTGTAGATTCAAAATAAAATAATGTTTTAAAATTGTGTATAAAAATCATAAATATTATTTTAAAAAATTTGACAAACATATCAAATTAAAACTTCTAATCTAATAATTTCAAAATCTAAATTTTTCAATGGAAAATACTTTTTTCATTCCAATATAAAATTGAAAATTCCCCCTTACTTGACTTTTATCATCGTCATTTATTTCGACATCTGAACCAATGTCATCATTATTGTCTAGTCGTACTGATTTTAGTAAGTTCAAAGCTAAATGAAGAATAATATTTGCGACGATTAACGACGATTAATTATAAGCATTTCGACTTAGCAACGATTAGTTACAGAATTTCGAGTTGCTGGAGAAGAAAAAGTTCGTCAACATTTTTTTTTTCATATTTCAATTGATTTACACCTGGATAAAGTTACATAAATTTATAAAAATTGAATTGATCAAATAAATTATCACTGTGCATTAATTGCAGAAATTATCAAAGTCATTTCCATCTACGATCTTTTTGATAGTAATAGAACTAAGCTAAAACACATCTTTCGTTTAAAAAAAAAATTTAAAATATCATTTCTTACAACTTTCTGATTCAATTAAAATACTCACGCTGAATGACTGTTCAATCAGTTTAAGGGTTTAAGCGATTTCCGGAGTGTCTCTTGTTATGCTACTTATAGCAACGTGACGTGTCAGTTAAAGTTGGTAAAAAACAATCTTTAAATGAGTATAGAATTTGTGGCGAATAATTTTTTAATTATCGTTTACCAAAATGAAGTTTGCCACCACTTCGCTTCTTTACAACGTTGGAAGGTAGTAAAGGTGAAGCTGATAAACTTGCAATGGTAACTTCGTCACTTGCTTGTACATTTCTTGGAGTAGAAGGGGAGGAATCGAAATCACTCTCGTCAGTATTCGAAATCTGTAATTATGATGAAGAAAACGTGCACCATTAAAATTGTTGTTCATTTTAAGAACGCAATATTTTAAATATTTTTAATACAAATCTTTTGATAAATTTCACCAGTAAAATTTTTTTTTCATGCGACATTAAATTCAATATCTATCGATAATCTGTAATTTATGGGTAGAATTGTATGCTATCTCTGAGGCATTACTCATTATATACATGGTACTACACGTATAATTACGACGTGTAATTGAAATGCTAACATGAATTCATTATACTAAAAGCACGTTATTGTTTCTTTTTTTCCTTATTTTATTTATGCTTCTTTCGTTTCATAGTAAAAAAAATGCGGTAAGATAACGTAGAAAAAAATAGAGAAAAAGTATTTTAGTGATGTTTTCCAATTTAATATTTTTTCCACCGAAGTATTGGAAAATCAATTTTTACTTAATGAATAATAATAACGATTTTATTATATATCTAGTGAATAATTATAATTTGCATCATAACTTATAATATAAATTAATAAATACTTTTTCACGTTTTTTAAATAAGCCTCTCCTTAAGGATGCATATTCACGCATATGTATAGGTACTGCTGCACCGCTTGCACTTGAACGTATGCTTTCATCTTCGCTATTATTATCCGATTTTAATTCAATCCTAAAAAAGACATTGAGATGGAATATGCAAATCATATGCCGTATGTGCAATATATTGAATGGGCAAAAAAATGAGTAATAAAACAAGAAACATCCCACGAACAGCAGCAAGCAATTTTCAAAACATTCTGAAACATTTGTATTTCTATGTTTAAAGAAATATAAATATGAAAAACATAATTTATAAAATTTAGTCAGATGAAAATAATTCTTTATGTTGGCTAACTTCCAACGAACAAAACAATAAAAAAAAATTAAAAATTAGCGATTAATTTTTGATAAATAATTTATGCTTAACTATCGACAACATTACTACTTAGTATAGTAATTCTCTTTTTTGTTTTAACTATTTAATGAAACTGACTCATCTTTTTTTGTCCAATCTTATTCTTTTTACATTTTTAGCAGTAATAACATTGAGTTGCTATTATTATGTAAGTTACTACTATCAACATATAAAGTGGGAAATAACCCAAGCAATTAAATTAAAAAATAAATGTAAATGCTTCAAGAATTAGCAATAAAAACAATAGAAAAGCAATCTCCTCGACACTAATAGCCGAAATTTCATAAAAGATTTAAATAATACTATCGGAGGATATATTCTATTCAAATAAAACGAAAAATATGCTAACAAAAAAAAACAAAAATGTTATTGTTGCGCATAATTTTTTTTTTCGTGCATAAACATGCAAGCATATAAACTTGTTAAATAATTTAAATTATCTGCGTGGGTGTGAATAGGTGATATACGTATATGTGTGTATGTGTGTGTGCATGTGTGTGATCAATGTGTGTGATCAATAGGTGATATACGTATATGTGTGCATAAGTGATCAACTAAACAACATTGAGAAACATGCCATCTTCCTTTAGTGTCCCTGCTATATTTTCAAGAATCTAAAACCTTATAAATATTTTGAAAAATGGACAAATCGTTTAAAACATTAAATCTCAATCTGAAAAGAAGTATATCTCATCAGAGAAAAAGATTCAGTTCAAATACCGCTTTTCGTACTTTTGAAGGATCAGATTATCAAATGATAAGAGTTTATTCTGGAAGTAAACTATGCTTTGTCGAAGCGTTTGGAAGTAAATTACGCAAGAAAAAATAAATGGACAGAGAAGTTCTAGTCAAATTAGAATGATATTATCATCATTTATTGATAAAATGAAAAAAAAAACATAATTTACGATTTCTGGAAGGTTTGTAGTCATATACCTAATGCTATCACATTACTTCACATGTGATTCAGATGTACTAAAATAGCCAGGTAATTCAAGACAATCCGGTTTATTGCGAATCGTGCAAAAACTACAATTGTTTAACTGTGTGTGTAATTAAAGATGGGTAATGAAATTTGGTAATTCATTTATATTTGGTCAGTTTTAATTGATTTCAAAATAAGTCACAATAATGTTAATGAAGTGCTTACATTGAAGAAAAAAATAAAGTATAAAAGTTTGAAATTGGATCAATCAATTTAAATATTAGACAATATTAGAAGAGGAGTAGGGAAAGTATAGAAAGGACACTAAAGAAGTGCATTTAATATTATACTAATGATTACTCGTTGTCATCGTTGCTTGCAAATTTTGCATTTCGTTCGGATAGAAGGATTTCAGGGAGTGGACACAGTAAGGATGTCCGACGGGAAGAACACAGTTGTGACGTACCGCTAAAAAAGAATTGTTTTTCTTTTTTTTTCTATTTCTCTCATAAATTTAATTCAGTAACGTTTTTCATATTGAATTTCTATTCCAATTAAAATTTTAAATATCAAATTTTACAACTTACACATCAAGGAATTGATTTTGATTTTCGGATGGTCGTCCATCTAACAAAGCACTTAGGCCTACACGTCGAAAAGAATTACCATGCTGTTCTTGAATAAATGATACAAATAGCCGTACATCCTGATACAAACTCTGCAATTTACCAGAAAATGATGGGATAACATGAGATCCGAAATATGTTGAAGATTGAATGGATTCATGCTCGATTCTACAGTAATCTCGCAACTTCAACATTTAATGCCAGGGAGAAATTGCAATAATTGTAAATATTTCAATCCATGCAGACGAAATAGATATTTCGCTTTTATACATACATAATAAAATGTGAAATAAAACAAAAATACATAATAAAATGAAATTCAATTTCAGAAAAAGACTAAAATTGAAATTTTATAGAAGCAGCAAACAATATGCATGCCGTAACTTTAACAACTAACCATATTTTCAGGCTGCAAAAGTTCGTTCATTGCGTTCATCAATTTCGATACTGCTGGCTTCAGTATGACTTTGATAACCGTTCCTTCAATTCCTTTCAAACTTTCGTTAAAATTATTTTGATATGAAGGTAACGAGGAATCCGATACAGTAATTCGACGACGTGGTGATGAACCGCTTCGTGTACGATAAATTCCAGCTGTAAGTAAATGCTTAAAGTAGATTTATTCGAGAATTGATACTAATTTACAAAAAGAATGTTTTTGAAAGAAATGATTTTTACATAAAGTCAAAATTTATTTTTGAGAAGTCTCAACAACTTTAAAAATTGAAATTCTATTACTTGACGTTGTGGTAGTCACTGTTTAAGTAAATAAAATGTTTACACTGATAGTATCGAGATTTGAATAATATTGATGTAAAATGTAGAAAAATGCTAACCGACTATACCACATTTACAAAAACCGGTTATCGAATGCAATGTGTCAATCAACATTTGCGCATTATACTCCTCGATACGACTGATCAATAAATTGCGGAAGATTTCCGAATTAATGTGAGAAATGACTGCAAGAACGGTGCGTGCTTTAACTCTGAGGAAATCACTCTGCTGTGAACGCAAGCCATCATTACATCCATGTGGACAACCTAACCATAAATAAGTTCTGAAAATTTCCGAATAGTTATTTGTCAAATTGCATAAATTACATGCAACAGATTAAATCTCAAAAATTATGATTGAAATCAACTTATCTGATTACTGTATGTTTCTCTCTCAACATCCTTAACCGGTTAATTAACTAGTATGAAGGAGAAAAGTATGAACAGTACTCTTATTATTCAATTTTGTCAAAGGTATGTAACAAAAAAACTGAAGATACCTAAGTACTATATTGATACAATCGTTGAAAAATGGTTGGAATTCCGTTTCAGGCATGTCCAGCAAACTTTCACAAATATTTAATGCCAATTCATGAATTCGAATGGAGGGTCGCCGTTCGATGGCAAAATGAATTGCTTTCAATAATACGATAAAGCTGATATGTCCGTTTTGTTCGATGAAATTCGTACTTCCAAGTGCCTTAAATAGAATGTCATGATGAGAAATGGAATTTAGATGATTTCAATAAAACCAGAAAAATTCAATTTGTGCAATTAAGTGATTACTTTTTTGTAGGATATTATACTCGTGTATATTACAAAATCATATCCCAATGTATATTATTTTATTAGATTCTTATTTGATTCTTGTTTAAATTTAAACAGTGGTATAAATTTCTTAAAATAAACACAAATTATTTTAAGTCGCAAACTGTAAAATCTGAAAACATTTTTTCCTAAAATTTCTTAAAATGTAAATTTTTACACTCAAAATATGAATTTTTAAAGTGAACTTCATAAAATGGGAACTTTATTTGTGAACCATAAAATTTGAACATATGACTGAGAGATTTATAAACCTCAGGAAAGAATTGTCGTGTATTGAATTCATTAGTAGTTTGCTTGGGAAATCCGGTGAGAGAACCACTTCTTGTGTCACGCGTTGAAAGACCATCAGATGAATTAGTTGCTGAAGGATTACTTCTGCAAATAAACGGAGTGATATCATTGAAAGCCGAATGAAAACGGAAAAACGAAAAGAGTTATTCTGCTTCTCATTTTGTATTGCATTAAAACATTGAAAATATCGAACCTGTGTTTTTCAAATTTCTCAAAAAATTAAAATTAAAAAATCAGAATATCTGTAACTCAAAATTCTATAATCACTTACCTTTTGCGTTCCAAATGTCCACGATTGCTACGACTATTGAAAAAGCTTTCTGATGTTATCACGCCACTTCGTCTTGATAATGTTGATAATTGTAGCAATGAATCAGACGACAAACTACAGCGTCTACAATTGATTTTTATTTTTATGTTTGATCCCTTCAAATATATTCCATTCTAAGCTACAACTATTAATTCATATTGATCAAAAAGGATTTCTGCAGAAAGAGCTTTATGATAATAGTATGATGATTAGAAAGCAATAAAAATCTTAGGCTTTATATTAACTGACTTTATTAATTACTTTTAGGCAATAAAAGAAAGCATACTTTTTGCTCCATCGAATTGATGAAACTTTCTCTTCTCTTCTATTACTTTTACTTTTTTCCAGCTTTTTGGCAATATCTTCTAACTGTAAATCATCCCAAGCTGGTGGACGATATTGAATTTCTTTCAAAAATTTTCGATTATCCTGAAACTCTCAAGAATTGTAGAAAATAATTATAAATATGACACATTTTCATGCAAAAATAAGGAAACCGATTAATTGGAAATAAAATTTAAGATAAAATATTAAAATTTGAAGCAACTTAGACCATTTTGGTAGAGAAGAGTTTCAAATGTGGAATACTGGGCACCGAATTAGCACGTGAACGATACGCGACAGTTCGTAAATTTCGATACATTTTAATTTCGAATAAACGATGCAATAAATATTTTATTGCCCAATAAACGCCATCTTCAGCCCAATGTTTAATTAGAAGACAACGTATGACAGCTACGTCCATGTACGTTGCTTCTTGTGGATCAACAAATGACTGTAATGAATTAGATTTGAAATTACTTGATAATTCATGGAAAATCATTTCATTCTCCTTCTCTCATTTCTTCTCCTTCTTCCTTCTATACTTATTTAATTCAAAAATAAATTTGTCAACAAATTTCGTTCATTTGTTCAAAATAAAATCTTTCACTTTTTTTGCTATATTTTAAAAAATTGGTTAAAATTCCCAGTTCACCTGTTGTTGTATAGTATCACATTCTTCTGAAATATTTTCTAATGGATCAAATACTTTCACTTGTTCAATTGAAGTATTTTCTGGTACCGATTTGATGACTGTTCCAACGTTTACTGTTGAGATTTTTGCTTCTGCAATATAACGCCGATACTTTTCAATGGTCGTATAAATGAAAGAGAAGGCAAAAAAACTGAAAAATAAATTGAGCAATAGCAGCGAGAAAAAATGAAACCTTTTTGTAATTTATCAGTATTTTGCTTGAATTCCGGCGAACTTGTATCGGAATGGCATGTGGAAATAACGGGAATAATTCTGAGGTATGAAGCGACCGAATGACGGTTGCACTTACAAGCATTCACTGCTATACCATCGCGGTACGCTACTGAATGACAACTTTCACAAATTATCTGAAATGAAATTCTGGAAAATTCTGATTAAATGAGGTAAAAAGTTTGATAAAGAGCTTTTTCTGGCAAAAGAATGAAACTTATGAGGCATTTAAGTGAGAAATTGTTTGTGTGATTTGGGATAGAAAACTTTTTACATGAAAAATTAAAAAAACTACGAATAAAATATCGTGATGGAAACAAATACAACTTTGCGATACTGAAATATTCCAAAAAAAAAAATCCAGAAATCTCTCCCCTAAACTTCTAAATAAAGACAAACTCCTTGACTTTATTTCAATTTAAAATTTTTGGAAAATTTGAGAAGTTAAACACCTCACAATTATTATGTGAAACATTTTCAAAGCCCGCTGAAATACCGGAACATATTTCTTGCAATATTACTAATGGTGCTTTTTCCTCGGATACTTCTGCGTCATTCATTGCATTGCTAAGAGATTTATCATCCGTAAAATTGAGTGCATCATCAAGCTCTGCCATACCTTTGCATAAACCTGGGAATAGGAATAGGAAAACTTTGGCACTATTTAATACCAAAATAATGGGTTCAATGAAACTCCTTTGCATTGAAGCAAATTTACAATAATTTTATTTTTTACATTTAAAATGTCGTCTAAAATTTTTGAAAAAAATTTTTCTAAATAGCAAAATTCAAAGTGAGATATCACTTATAAGTGTATATGTAACTATAAAACAAACTTGGTGATTTCTCATCAAATATTGTAGTGTGACTTTTTGTAAATACTTGTGGAATATCACTTGTATGATAATCACTAACACTTCGAACAATTGAACTTGACCGACCCATTTCCAAATTAGTTGATTGCTGAATGCGCTGAAGATATTAAAAGGAAAGTTTCGTAAAATTTTCAAAGTATTTGGTAAAAATCTGAAAAACCTTTGTTATAAAATTTAGCAAAAATTCGTTATTTACTTGCTTATTTTATTTAATGAATATAACAATGGATAGATTTATTTGACATTAGCATCACCTTTTCTCCAGATAATATTTCTTGTTGTTGTTGTCGATTAATATGTGAGGTCGCAATTGTTTGAGCAGTAACAACTTTAGCTCCATCATCTTTTTGTTTTTTCAAGCTTGAATGAACTGTTAAGTTGGGACGGGGTGATTTGGGTGGTGGTACATCGGTGTATGGCGGAAGATTGATAATTTGCGCCGGAACATTTGATAAACGTCGTATCATTGTTTCGTTTGCATCGCCTAAAATTCATTTTAATTTATTAATTTTATCAGACAATTACGTTAACCAACGACTTTTTTTAACTTTAGGAAAAGTGCTATCAGTTCGCGTGGTTTATATCATCAGCATATTTCCACATCGCATATCACCAACACAAATGTAAATTTGTATACTGATGAAGAATGAACTTTCTTGCAGATTTTACCAATTGAATGAAATCATTAAATTAGAAAGTCCATTTGCTATGGCAGCAAACTAACTACTACTATTTTTAATTGGCATTTTAATTATTATTAATAATGTCATATTAAAGTGTAGCTCTGTTATACGAAAGTTGATCATTCAACCTATACCAAGATATATTCCTTGAACTGCAGAGATCGGTTCTGTCTTCTTCGTGATTGTTATAAATGGAAAATGTGTGCGGCGCTGTTTTACTGGAGCACAGAAACATAACACTTCCGGTTGACGGTACTGTAGCATTAAAGAAATGAGAGACAGAATGATAAGAATTTAGATGATAAATTGATAAAAATAATTGTCCGACCTGATCCGAAAGAGCTTTTCTATGAACTTCTGGCAACAAATTGGTAATATATTTCAAATAAAAAAAAAATTAAATTTTTACCTGCCAAAGCGATTGCCAAATTTTTAAACCACTTTCTAGGCGAAAATTTGATGTCAAATCTTTTTCATTGATCACATTCAATAATGGAGTAATCATATACACGAATAATTGTATACTGCTAATCGAAAATGCATATTGTCGTATGGCATGTACAGGAAAATCGGTCGACTCGATTACACTCTAAAATTAAATTAAATTGGTTCTATAAGTGAAGCAGAAAAGAGTAAAATGTTTTGCTTTAATTCATTTAAAAAGTTTATATTGGTAATGCCTTATCATTTTGAAGAATTTCAGAAAAAAAGTGATAAGTTAATTCATCAAGAATACAGCAAGTCAATAAATCTTGCAGATAGGCGCTAACATCACTCAAAATTTTACGAAATCTGATAAAATTCTAGTAGTTGGATGAATTTGAGAATGTGAACAGAGGAAAAATGATGTGTTTATCCCTTAGTGTGGAAATTTTGACACATTAACAGTTGGAAGTTGTTGCAAAACAAACTTTTTCGGGTAAATATTATATCAGTGAACATGAAAAATGTTTACCGGAAATTCATTAAGTTGTTTTAACACTTTACCTTTTATGTTTTTTAATTAGTTACCATAAGGTAGTTCAACTTTCCAAAGTTAATTTTCACTTTTTTATTCGAGATAGCTTTCGTCAGCTTCATTTATAGTTTAAGATCTATTGATTCTTGCAAATAACATTGGCAACAATACTCTTCGTTCCGTAAGGTTACAGCAATTTTTTCTCGTTATGTTTTCTATACTAGAATGAAATGAATGGAATGAATATGTTCTTTAAATATAACTTTAAGCATTTCAAATAAAATTCAAAACAGTTTATTAACGTTTTTTCCAGTTTCAATATTGTATGTGATATAATCGAAGATTTTCATATTTACTATAAATTAAAAAAAATTAGTTTTAACTCTTTCTATTGCAAAATATTTATCGGACTTTTTTTCATTTTTATAGCCTATTTCATGCATGATTGATGAATTAATTAGTTGACTAACTGAAAACTATTCTGCATTATTTCTAAAGCAAATTTAAATAGGAAATCAAAGGGAACATTCTTGCCGTTCCATGAAATACTTTTGTTTATTGATTATTGCTACCGTAATTTATGCATAATTTACGATGCAAACTTTATCATTAAAATTTACCTAGCAGATGCAAAATAACATTATTTTTTTAATTCAATATTCCAACTATAAACACTTCATCGTTGCATAAATAACATATGAGGTGGTTGAATAAGTATCGCAATTTGTAAACAGCAAATATATTTATTATGAGAAAATGCTTCTTAAGCTTAAATTTGCTTTACAACTAAAGTAGAATAAAGTCGAATTTCTCAATTTTATGTAAATTATCGTTTTAATTTTTTTCTTTTTAGAACCAAGCAAAAACTTTCGCAATAACATATCCATCCATAATATATGGAAATTGGGGGAAAAAAAGGATATCGACTGAAGTTTTACGTATATCCCTAATATTGTCAAGAAAAAATCAGAAAGAATTTAATAATTGAAGATAAAACTTTTTTTCATCGCTTCATAGCACTTTAACTTTACAATCGATCAATAAATTCATTTCGATTAAATTCTTTTCCAGAATTTTTGAAAATGATTTAGGGGCAGAGATATCCTTCATTCTCATCGCATCACTGACACTGATTATATCACTGTTACAAATAAATTTTGACGATTTTTGTTTTATCATTCATCCTTAGGTTGTTTTAATTTAAGCGATAATTTGAAAGATCGGCATAAATCATTACGGTAAACATACCAAAGAACATAATTGCAATTAAAACATTTCTTTGTAAAGTACTAATTTATAAAATTTCCGCGTAATTAAAATGAACTCAGCAGCTGCTTTGTAAACTATTAAACATTATTTATTCAAAATATTCCAATTTCTTCAAAGCATTTTTTTGGAAAAGATTAGTTTTCTGATGACAGCTGTTCGTTAGCCAATCAAAAGAATATTATGGCGGAATTATTTGCCAATCAAATGTAATTCGTCCGCTATTTCAATTTTTCGACTATTTGTGAGTCAAACAATGACAGAGAGAATTATCTATTCCTTTTTAAAGACTTATTATAAACAAAAATCTCGTTATGTTTCCAAATTTTTTAGCTATAACTTTTGATTCCGATCAGAAAATGTTATTTTGTTACTTTGTTACCTTTAGTCTAATTATTTTTATCAAAAGTATATACAACTGTGGGCAGATTATAAAATTTTAACCATTAAAAAAGGGGTATACATTCAGTTATATTTTGTGTCAATAAATCAGTGATATGCTTATTTCTATTCAAAGTTTCATCCAAATACCCAAACTTCCAACCAACACGTAAATAAGATGGCGTCGGCTATTTATTCAATCATTTGAAATTCTGAACATTGAATTTTTAAGATTAAATAAGAGATAAGAAAAAATGAAAGATAAGCAGTCATACCTTTCTGCTTTCAACATCATAACATTCATTGGCTGAATCGAGAAGAAGCCAATGCAGTATGTACAACATTTTCACCAATGATCCACTCATCGGTGTATTATCTCGGCCAACAGCTTCGGATAATAACGATGCACAGCACTAAATTTTGGAAAATTTCAAACACTGAAATTTGATAAAATATCTTCTTCAACAGTGATATCACGTATGTCTCGCTTGAATTGTTATTTGATAGCTATTTTTAGCATTTAAATTATATTTATTCGTTATAAATATCAAAGATGTGCTTATTTTAACTGAGCGTAAAGTAATTCCAAAATTTTATGTACTTACTTGCACAATATGCGGAAACGTTGCACGTATTAAACGCCAACGTGAAACAGAATTAATAGCATCAGAGAGTGATGGACTAAGTCCGTGAAGTATATTTTGTACAACGACCCGTTCAAACGTCTGCAAAATCGATTAACTTGCTAACTGCGTGCTTTGTCAAATTTATAATCTATTATTGTTTTCAATATAGAAACCTTCAACTGCTTTGTTTCATTAATTAAGGGTTATCAATTGGCAATGACTATCAGTTTGCTTTTGCATAACTCATTAATAATTTCAAAAAAATTAAAGCCGTATTTGCAAAAGATTTCTCGTGCATTCATTCCTTTCTTTTAATTTCAGTCTGTTGCATCACATTTACAGACTTTCGGTCGTCTATCTATTGATCAGATATAAGAAGATCGAAAGTTTCTTTTCACTCCAATTAGCAGTCTCTTGTCCGAGGAATAAATGTCACAACAACAACAACGTCACAACTTTCCAAAGATTTCGCAACCAGTGAAACACTCACCACACATGACGCTTCATGAAGTTTGCCAATTTTTGCACCCAAAAATGGACTGAAAGTTTTGTCTTGCAAAAAAAATGTAATTTAAAGGAATAAATTAATAAAAATATAAAATTAAATTTAATTCTGTAACTTCATGCTATTTTGAGTCATAAAATTTTCCATATATATATTTTTCTTTTTTCAGCTATAAATTTTATTAAATTTGACATTCGAAATATCTTTTAATTTTTGCAAATTCATTTCAAATTAGCGGTAAATAATGTGTAAAAATAGGCGGTACTTTGTTTGTCGCCATAAAAATGTTTGTATTGGCAATGGGATTGATTCTAATTCATTGTCGTCATCGTTTGGTGATGATAACGGATCCATTGACCTGTAATGTGATGGCTTCCACTTTTCTTCTTCATTTTTCAAGCATTCATTATTTTACTTTCCCTTTTTTAGAAAAAAAAATCAAAAATTTCAGTTTCATGGAAAAAATGCTATATGGTTATTAAAATTTAATTTTCGTGACAATAATCAATAAAAATGAGAATTAATTTATGCATGATAAATAAATTAGTTAGCTGAATCTAAATTAGTCATCTTTTGGACAAGAAATATATGCGATGAAATTAATGAAATGTAAAATGTTTCAGTTGAATGAATTTAAAATGAATTCTTTTGATTGCGTGAGAAGGATAGTGAAAAGCAAAATTCATGGAAATTGATTTCTTTTTCGTTCGCTTTCCACTTACACTTTCCATTTTTCCCTTTTTCTTCTTTTTTTAAGGATATAAATGCCGAAAAGATTTCGAAAATTTCAATTTCGTTTGATTATCGAAGTTGAAAATAATAAACAGTAAAACGAAGAATAAAATAGCAATAAGAGCAATTTTGAATGTAATGAAATAGCATTCATTGGAAGAAAATCATTAAATGAAAGTTTTTGTTCCATTGTTGAATGTAAGGATCGACTTCTCTTTCACATAGGTAAAACTAAATTAATCAAAAATGACAAAAAAAAGGCTTTGTTCTGTGCCAATGTTCATAGAGTTGTGCAAATTTAATTATGTTAGCTCTATGTATTATATTTGATTTTAGTATAATCGAGCAAAATTCATACATCCATGCTTTAAAATAGCAAAAAACTAATCGAAATCACATCATGATATACTATTCGGATCATTTTTATTCAGTTCTGTAATTAAGTTTGAATTATTTATGAAGTTCGAAAATATAGCGAAATAGTCGATTTCGAGAAATTATTAAACATTAGACTGTATCAAACTAACTAATAATTATTCTCAAATTTCTTATATAAACAATAAAGTAACTATGCTTGTCCGAAGGAAGAGATATCATAAAAGTTAAAATGATTTCATTGATAAAATATGCAAATTTCTAATTCACTTATCATTTCCATCAGCCACTAATTCTATGCATTCCACAACTGCTTTAAATCTTTTGAAATGAGTTTAAAATATCATTAAACAATGGCCTTGTATCATAAAATAATTGCTGGAAGAATGAATACAACAGTAGCACAGATCTATCGGCTAATATGAAAGAGTTTTCAAATGAATTCGGAAGAAAAACAGTGAAATGCGGGGCAAGTACTGTAAAATAATGAAATTTTGAGGATGTGAAGGGGAGAGGAAGACCTTCCCATTGGAATATATCCTCTAACATTTGTTAACCATCTGGTCAAAACTGAAGAAATTTGTTTGACAATTCAGTCAAACTAATGAAACTGAACAAAATTGAAATCATTTTAGATTATTCAAATGTGAGGAAAAATTAAATTGAACTGGAACGAACCGTATATTGCCTCGAATTGAGCCAACAGTTCCACTACGAGGCATCGGAAGCCGTTGCAGTGTACCCTGACGTCGGTGCTGTAAGTATCGTACATGCATTTTACCTCGATATTATCCTTTATGCTCTCGATTACCATACAAAAGTAAATCGATTAATATTGGATGTGGAAACACGTAAAAATGTTTTTGATTTGCTGATTAAATATTGAAATTTCAGTTGAGGTACTTGATCAGTTTTGATAATAGTGTAAATAAATGACAGCAAGGTTGTGATAGGTCAGATAAAGTATGAATAATGTTGTTCAAGAAATAACTTGATGGAAATTTATGGAAGTGACAAATGAGGAGAAGAATATCCGTTCCGATGAACATCGCATCTTTTACGATGATGAAGCTCGAGTGCATTCGATATCGATGTACATGTATTATTGGTATATATGTATTTATATTTGTATTTATATATTTATATATCTGATAGAAAGAGAGTGGGAGAAAATGGTGCATGAGGATGAGAGAGAGAAGGAGAGAGATATGATGAAAAACGGTGATAATGGGAGAGTGACACCGCCTTTTTCCTCTTGGGTGTTTTTAGGCCGTGTTTCCAAGGATTCTATTTCAGTCATATATTCCCAAATTGAGCCAATTCGGCAATTCAATCATTTCTAAGTCCCTCTCTCTTTCTCTATCTCCTACTGCTTCTTTAAAGCTTATTTTTCTTTTCGTTAAATTTCCTTCCGTTCCTTCAAAGGTTTTCGTTTTCGTTTTTTTTCATTTCTTTTTTGCAATTCAATCCTTCCTTTAAAGATTCTGTCACTTCGCGGTTCATCATTGATTTTTAAAACAACGAAAAAAATTTTTTTTCATTTTGAATGGCACATTTCTTATGGACAAAGAAGTTAGTTGTGAAAAAATGTCATCGAAGAAGCATTTTCTTCTTCCTTCCTTCTTTCCGTCCTTTCATCGTTCCTTCCTTTTTTCCTTCCTTCCTTCCTCCCATTCTTTCCATTCCCTTTTCCTTCTTTCTTTTCTTTTTTTCTTTTAAATAAACAACAAATAAGTCAAAAATAATGATGGAAAAAGTAAAAGAAAAGCACTAACAAAAGGAAAAAAACGTTAAATTCGTATATGCAATTCCATCCATTATTTAATAATTTAAAGGAAAGGGAATGAAAACAAATTCCTTCCTTTCCTCCAACTTCTCGTTCAAACATGAAAAGAGAGAGAAAGAAAGAAGGAAAAATATTATTCTGAATGGAAGGGAAATATAATTAATATGCTAACAAAAGCAAAAAGACATTAAGATATACTAAAAATTGATTATATCATTTTAATTTATATAGTTTAATTAAACCGAGCGTACAAAATCAATTGAGCTAAAAAAAGAATAATGAATTATGAAATGAATTATGTTGAGAAGAAAAATGTAAGCAAAACTTTAATTTAATTTAACTTGAGTTAAATTCAGTTTTTAGATATTGCCGGAATTACAAATTATCATCTAAAAATGTCACAGTTTGTGATGATATATGTGCAAACATATGCTGTCATTGTTCTGTTACGTAACTAACTCTTTCATTTATTCAATTTCATGAAAACTTCAAATAACAATTTATTGTTTCTGTTTGTGGAAGGAGACTGAACATAGAAATATTGCATAATTTGGGTAAATTGAATTTATTTCAAATTGGTATGAGAAGCATTTGTTGAAAGTTAGTTCGGCATTGATGCGCATTTGATAATTGAATTAGTACCGATAGACTAATTGGCTGAAAAAGATTGAAATGCCTCATTGCAATTAAACAGATTTCCTTTTTTCACTTTATTTTCCCTCAGTTCTAATGTAATTGGTAAGCCATGAAGCATAGGCTAACCAGTACTGAATCGATCAACTCATGCCTTATGTCTCTTCGAAAATCTGATAACGATGTTGTTTATAACACTGCCATATAAACTTTAACATATCATCATATGATACATTTTTAAACTACCACTTCTTTGACATAAATAAATGATAGTTTTAAATCACGAATTTGAAATAAAATTTCTCACAATTCTAAAAAAAGTTGCGTCTAAGTTTTTATCCAACAATTTTCAATATTGTTCCAAAAAGCTGAAATTTTTTAGGATTCTGAAGTTACTAAATCGACTGAGTATATTTTTCAAAAATTTTTTTGCAAATTATTTAAAAATTTTCTAATAAAAACAAATTTGTAATTTCTGTATGCAATAAAATACTTTATTTTCTAACATTCTTCATCTTTCTATTGAACCTTTCACATTGCCATCATTCAAAATCTCCACTGAAGGATGTTTTTTCTACGAAAATAAAAATTTTCTGATTAGAATTCGAAAAAGTCTTTTTTGATTGAAAAAAATGCAAATGTTTAAGAAAAACATAATTTTCTACGATAACGATAAAATTTTTTTGAAATTGATTTATGAGAATCATTTTTCCGATTCAGTAAAACAAAGAAACTAAGCAAAACCTTGAGGTTTCTTGAAAAACCAATATCGCAAATTCAAATTCAAAATCCGAATTATTTTCCGGAAAGCATAAAAGGCTAACAATGCAGTAAGGCTAAGAGTTTATATCAATGAGATCAATGATATATATATATATACCAATGATATATATAACGATTATTATGCAATTAGGTTATGCATATCCAATATTTGTATTATATCTAACGTCAAATTATAAATCATTGATTAGTTGATAAAGATAGCAATATAAAAAGCTGTGATACATGTTGAGAAATATTATAATTTTTTAAAGAGCTGAAATGAATGGAAGTGTTATTTAACGGGTAACTGTCGAATGCAAACTTATAATTCTATCTTCTCATTTTCGATTTTGATCTATTGTTGTAGACAATACGTTTATGCTTAATGTGATAGTGAAAATTTACTTTTTATTGAATTTTTGGGAAATTTATTTTCGAGTAAAAATTTTCTTTGACATTTATAATCCTTTCCCACAATTAATTTTTCGCACAGCAATTTAAGTGGAGAAAATATTAAAATAAATATGTACACCTTTTAAAGTTACCAGAGTTTAAAACTTTTTTTAAAAAAAGTTTTTTTTTTTTTTTTAAAAAAAAACAGCTTTAAGATTTAACGTACAAATTATTTAATTCCGAAATTAAAAAAAGTCTCAAACGATTTTTTGTGCTGATAAGAAAATTAGCATAGACGATATTTATTTTGTGTTTGTTCAAAAATTCAAATAAAAATTAATTGTTACTCAGTTTGTAATATATGTGATATGAAATTTCATCACCATGCAATTTGATGAGTTTTTGAAAAAAGCTGAAAATTCTCATTTCTCGAAAAGCAAAAATTCTGTTTGATTGCTTTTCGAAAAACTTTTATTTTGTTAATATTATGGAAATTCCTTTTTTTCTTATTTTATTGCTTTTATAGTTTATAAATTTTAAGTACAGCTTAAGTATTTTGGAAAAAGATTTTTAGACTGTGTAAATTTTGAATAATGTTTGTTCATCATTATCGCTATATGTCTCGCTTACACTTTTTGAAAAAAGTTGCTGCTAAGCTTATCTTTTGTGCTACAACTTTTCTTCGAACTGTCCAACAGCTGAAAATGTCATTTCAAAGGAATCAAATTTAAAGATTTCTGTAGTTGAGTAATTTAATAACGACCGATACTTTCATGTTCTAATTTCACAAACTTTTCATTTCATTCCTTGTTTTTTTTCTTTTGGTGAAATGAATAGTTTTCGGATGCTATTGTTATTTAGAAAATCGAGAAATTGTATTTCTGCACATCAGAACTTAAAGAGTAATTTTTTGAGAAACTTAAATTGATTTTATTACATTGTTATCAAGACTACTACTGTAATGTAATGATTAGTAATTAAAACTAAAAAGATTTGAGTATTTTTCGGGGCATACATAAAATCTGTTAATTGTGCTGAAAATTTTGATACTTTAATTTTGATGTATAGCTACCGTTTTAACAAAATAATTTGCTTTAGTCCTCGGTAAAAATAATTTTTAAAAAAGGAAGAAACTTTAACGAAATTATATCTTCTATGTTAATTTCATATGAATTTAAATCTAACATAAAATTAGTAAAGAATATAATAAATTAATCGACATAGTTCATCACTGAATTCATTTGAACATCATTACCACTGCTAGAAAAATTTTGTCGAATTATTCGTACTGATGTTTTTTCAAAAGTTTTTTTTAAAAGAAAGTTTTAGGTTTGAGCGTTGAAAAAAAATGAATAGATTGTTGTTAGCTGATATTTGAGAAAAGTTAATAATTAATTTCAACATGAAATCAAATTTTTTCTAACTATTGCGAAAATACTGCATTATTATTTGCTCCTTAATTCATACGTCATTAGCGTACACTTATTCACGTCATTATGCACTTTCAGTCTATTTCAAATATTCTTTTAGAGCCAACTATTAAAATATTGTTTGATTTTTCAATTTTATGAGGATAGAACGGATGTAATAATAGTACGTTACATGTCAGCCAAATAATTAACGAATTATCTCGCAATTCAAGACATCAATTGGTGCCTTTTGTTAATCCTTTCATTTCTTCCCAATTTTTTATTTTTGAAAAATTTGAAAAAGAAAAGATCGGATTAAGTCAATTTCTTGCTTATACTATTAAAACTTCTTGGATACTTGACATCTGCAGAGAAATGAAATTGATTTACTAAAGAAAAAAAACTGAGCTTCTTTTGTCCATTTTGCCCAGCTCTTCTTCACTTAAAAATTACGAAAGAATCAATTTAACGAAAAACAAACAAATAATAAAAATTAATCGGAATAGAAAAGAGTTAATTCAAAGAGGTACAGGAAAAAGAAATGTTGTGGAGAAAGCAATCCAAAAGTGTTTGCTAAAAGTGAAAACAAGAAATTTTTTCATTGATGACATCCATCGGAACAAGTAAACACATTCATTCTTAATGTAATGCTAATTTAATTATTGAATGAAATAAGAATTCAACGGTGGATAAAAGTGAATCCAAAAAAGGGAAGCATCTTCAAGTCTTACCAAGCATTAACGATGTTTATTTAAATTTTTGCAAATCTACTTAACATTTTTTCACAAATAAA